AAACACTGATAAAAAAAACATTATGAGAATATTGTAAAAATACCTTGTTAAATAAACTTCAACAAATGTTTAGTCAAAAAAAAAAACAATACGCTTAATAAGTTAGTAAGTTTACAAAAAAATATCTAGAGTAGATTGCTATCTTTGTATTGTGCAGTCAGATAATATAATGCTTAGATTATGGTCTTATCTCCCGATAACGAAATGCTTATCGAGAATTTCGACAAATGGCCGAAAGCGTGGCTTAGTATTTGCGCGCTCGTTGAGAGTTCAACGACCTCGCGTATTCACTGTACCATTAGGTCACGAGTATGTATTTTGACAACGCACCGCGGAAATTATCTAATCGGCACGCGGCCGCGAGGACGTAGGGTCAACGACACCGGACCGTTTGCAGCGGGCTCCGACCGCCTCAACGAAAGTGAAATGCGAAGTGAATGTGCCAGCGAGTACCGATATCGTCAACTGAGATGACCGAATTTGTTTATTGATAGATGTGGGTGGCTGAACTGCCTGACGACGGCCACTCAGCCAGAATTGGGTCCCAACAGGAAATTGTTATAAATTTTTTAACTATGTAGTCGTGAATCGCAAGCAATTCGACTATAGTCTAGTTAACGTATTGTTTGTTTATTGAGCTCTGGATCAATGACCTATGCAAATTATATTATTAGGGCATTCGTTTCATTACTCAATAAATATTTGTGTGAGTGCGAAGAAAACGGTTATGATAGCACAATTCTTTAAGATAATAAGATCCTACTTAAATATCTTAAGTACGTAATATCTATCTAAAAAATATTGAATTATGAAATAATTCATATATTCCCTCAAATATATTTATAAGCAAAAATGACACTAAAAATTGGATGTTTGCAATACATTAATTAGCGTGTAATTCTTCTTTATCAGATTACTACTTGATACATAACACACGTGTATTAGTTGCGAATAGCTACGTCGTAGCAAAGTCGTAGCGCAAAATTACCTATGACCCTATAAATCCTATAAACTTTGCGCATTTTAAGTGCTTTTTTTCACCATTACTAAAGTTTTTATTTGGATTCCATGAGCATACAATATATTAATAAATTTGGTGTCGTTTTTATTCATTTATGTTTGTTAGAAGAAAAAGATCTTCTTCTACTACTATACTTCTCCTTATAATAGTTAATTTTTGAATGAAATTTGACAGGAACGTCGAAAAAAAACGAAATTAACAAAACATAAATAAAATATATTGCTTCAGTTTTCAACTACCTACCTATGTGATAAGGTTATAAATTTATTAGACATTGACAGTACATGTCAAAGAGTTGTAAGTATTATTATTCGCGTAATCCTCTGCATTAATCCTCTGCGTAATTACTGGTGGTAGGACGTCTTGTGAGTCCGCACGGGCAGGTACCACCACCCTGCCTATTTCTGCCGTGAAGCAGTAATGCGTTCGGTTTGAAGGCCTTGGCAGTCGTTGTAACTATACCGAGACCTTAGAAATTATATCTCAAGGTGGGTGTCGCATTTACGTTTGTAGATGTATATGGGTTCGAGTAATCACTTAACACCAGGCAGGCTGTGAGCTTGTTCACCCATCTAAGCAATAAATTTTTTTGGGAAAAAATAGCGAAGCCTGAATATTATTGCAAAGTTGATTAAGTTGATGTAGTTAGATCACATTAGCAGGCGTACATGTTGAGCACATACTCTTTTGCGCTAATATTGTCTTTAATATCAGATAATCAGTGTTTCATTTTTGGGAACTAATCAGAGGAGCTTATGGCGCAAAATGTTAAGGGATTTCTGGAGCTCATTCGAGGCGAATTTTGCCACAAACCCTGACGCATGTGATCAAAATCCGGATTGCGTTGCACTTCTTAGCCATTTACACCGGAATATTTACTAAATAAATTGTTTAAAAATAAAAGTTAAGTAGGAAAATATGTTAGTGGTCTTAACAACGAATCTTGGAAAGGTAGTAGGTATAGTTCAAGTAGGATTCAAGGAAACCAGGGTCACGTGGATGAATTTTTTATAATATGATTGAATCGGTTGATTGAGTACCGTCCGGTCATCGTTTTCGTCCAACCTGTCACTTGCGACGAAGGGCTCGGTGAGTAAATTAACCCACAGACACAGCCCATTGAGTTTCTCGCCAGATCTTCTCAGTGGGTCGCGTTTCCGATCCGGCGGTAGACTATGCGAAGCACGGCTCTTGCTAGGTTCGTGTTAGGAACATCGTCAGGATTGAGCCCCGTGAGCTCACCTACTAGTTAAGGTTACGCTGATATAGTATATCTAGACCACCAGCTTAGGTAGGTAACAAAAAATGAATAGGTACCGAAAATATTGCCACATTGAATTCGCTAATTTTAAGGAAATTGCGTAGATGTCCAAAATAGCCGTGAACAATTGTTTTGAAGATGTTTTGATCTGTTATCGAAATGCCTATTTGCACGATTACTGGATTCGATAGGATTTTTATTACACACCATGTTATGTGGCTACAAATGTCGGAGGTCGATGACCGTTCCGTACATAGTCATCAGAATGTAGACACAACCGTGTCGTAATAATATAATAGAAACGCTTCGAATTTCACGTATCTTATTTTTTCTTAAGTAAGTATTTATCCGTGATATTTGACCATATGTATGTCATTTCCATTACATATAGAATTTTAAACTTCATGATTTCTAGAATAATCGATATTAAAAGAAGACGAAATTAATGTTAAAAGGCTAGTTACCTTTTTTTAAACTTTAAATATTGCCTGTATGTTTTAACAGTTGATTCGGTAATATACAGGATCAAACGATATAATGAAATGATTAGATTTGTTTCCTACTTTTTTGAACAGAGTAATGTAGGTAAGTGCATGTAATTGTATGTAACTGTTGACAGAATTCATTCAACAATATGAATATCAGTGCTCACCATAGGACTTGACATCAAAATATTAATTCTACTGGAACAACGGCTATTCAGCAAAACAGAAACACTTCGAGTTTATTTGTTACATGAACTAAAAAACTATGTATTAAAAATAAGAAACCACGTTCTTATCATAAAGTATTTTTTCTTCTTGATAAAAAGAAAAATTGGTATCTGGTCCAGAGTCAGACCACAGATTAGGCAAAAGACTATGAGCACCATATAAGCACAGGCCAACGTTCGAATTCCAAACTCCAAGATGGCCTCTCAATAAAAATCCAATAAATATAAATTACTTATCTATGTTTACAAACACATACAAATGACTACATAAACATTACGAATAATAGAAGGCACAAACACGGGCTTACGTAAAAGCGTGGAATGCAAAGCAAGACTAAACAAAAATCATTGACGGCGATCATTGACTTAGTGGAAATAAGTCCCTTGACTCTATTCGCGTCCAATAACCTGTGCATTCGAACATAAACAACACATGGTCTTTGAGTTTCTAATCACGTTGCATCTCGACGTGTTTAGGTCATTAACGACAGGTCAACGACCGATCAATGCTTAATTACTCCTAACAATACTAGTATGATTTCTATCGGTTAAATGTGAGCAGTATATTGCATACTAAATCTTAAGGTCGATACAATAAACGTGCAATTAGACAGGGACCGAACACGTCGTGCAAGTCAGTCAGTTGTAAATGAGCGAACGTCCTTGCGCGTACATTGAACCCGGAATATATCGGTGCAATAAAGTCAATAACCTATTATCCAATCAAATAGTTGTTACTGATTATGTGAGTCCTTGATATCTTAGAGACGACCTTTGCCGGTCAATGCCCTTACAATAAAAGTGATGACATATTTACCCAGTGCTGTATTTACGTGCTCGAAACACGAAAAACGATTACATTTAGGTTCTGTACCGAAATCGTAGAATGGTATTATTATGTAAACATGTCGCGCTTACGTAATACGGCGCGTTGTGCAAATTCAAATCTTTGCTCATCTATCCTTAGAGAAGGCTAAGAGTAGGTATTACCAACATGATACGCACTATCGACTGTTTGGTTTTAGTTCAGATTTCTGTTTACAGATACAGATTTTGTATTTTACTCCGTAGGACTATGGCAATACCAAGAAAAAAAAAGCAATTTAATTTTACTCTTTAGGAATAATTAACATAAACATAAAATACGTAGTACTAGCCAGCTAATATACGAATTTTCAAAAAAGTTTTTTTTTCCACGTTCGTAAATTTAAAATCATAGTTCAGAATCTCGTGAGGAAATGACGTAACTACTTTTATTACAGACGATCATATTCGTTTACCTCATTAAACAAGAAGCAATCGACCAGCCGGAGTTCGATCTCAAAAAAGTAAGATTTTTTTAATAGTTACATTATAAATGTTATCGATTCGAAATAATTTTTTTTTTTTTGTTAAATTGCGATTAAAATAATATCTCAAATTGAATAACATTGCCGAACAGTAAACTAATTCTAAATTTCAAAACTATTTTAAACCAAGATTCTATACATTCCGATCGGATGATTGTAAACTTAAAATTTCAAGTACCGACACATACTATTTTGTTTGGAGTCCAATTCTAACAACAATGGAGTAAAAGTTAAATACTTATGCAACAAATACAATCTGAACAATATGCCCCGAGATGAGATAAGAGGATCACGTGTAGTTCACTCTGATGTACATATAAGCAATTGATTCTGCAGTACAGTTCATTTCTGTATATTTTGGTACGCATTACTGATTCTTGAATAGTATCAACAAGTCGTCTAAAACTGATAATTTATAATTCAATTAGCTTGAGTAACCAATAAATTATATTTACTCAAGAACGTTGATAACGTCAAATTGTTTCGTCTCCTTAATTTATTTTTAAATAATTGCCCAACGTCCATAAATAATGTTAATTTTACAACGTAGTCCGACGGACGTTGAAGTAAATTCGATATAGTTTTGAAGAAGGTAGGTAGTTACGAAATAGTTTTCGTTCGCGTCTTTGTAATACAAAAGGATATTTTATTCCGCAGATGTTGATTTACACCCGGATTATCTCTATATTAGGAATGTGGACGAAACTCGACACGTACATTGAACTGTACAATGGATATATGCAAGATATACTGGATAGGAAGCATCGGACGATGGATCTGTTGTTTTTGGTCCTGTTGGGATTACTTTTCTTATTTTTAAAAAGAACCATATATTATTATATGTACCTACCACCAGGTAAGCGAATTTTATATTTTAAAATACGAATAGAATCCGTCGTGTATGGCTTTAAAATCGTTTAATGTACAAAGTCAACATATTATAATGTACTACAATAATCTTTGATATAACATTCAGTGGTATTCTGGTTATTTTTGCTTGGCAACAGCTATGAATTAATTTTAATTCAGCACAGCCCACCTGGTGTTAAGTGGTTACTGGAGCCCATAGACATCTACAACGTAAATGCGCCACACACCTTGAGATATAGTTCTAAGGTCTCAGTATAGTCACAACGGCTGCCCCACCCTTCAAACCGAAACGCATTACTGCTTCACGGCAGAAATAGGCGGGGCAGTGGTACCTACCCGTGCGGACTCACAAGAGGTCATACCGCCAGTAATTGCGCAAATTATAATTTTGCGGGTTTGATTTTTATTGCACGGTGCTATTCCTTCACCGTGGAAGTCAATCGTGAACATTTGTTGAGTACGTATTTCATTAGAAAAATGGGTACCCGCCAGCGAAATTCGAACACCAGTGCATCGCTCGATACGAATGCACCGGACGTCTTATCTTTTAGACCACGACAACTTCGAAATTACTTATACTACTAATCATTTTGAAGAACAAAACTGAGTAGTTCTTAAAAAATAATAACGCTACCCACTAAACATTAAATGAAAATGTGCCTGTTTATATACAATATCTTAACCATCTTTTTAATTTTAATGTTTAGTGTAATAAACTAAGAAAAGAGAAAAAATTGTTAGTATATATTATTATATAGTGCGTATACAGACAAGCTCGCCATCCGCCATTTTTTTATAACGTAGGTAAGTGAACGAGTTCACGGTCCACCTAGTGTGAAGTGTTTATCGGAGCCCATAAACATCCACTACCAGGTATTAAATCCTTAACTTTAGCAGTACCTAGCTATTGTCGGATCCAAGAAATCCGACAAAAATCTAGGTGAAGCTAACGACCATTTACAGGTAGTATTTTACTAGTTGGAGTTAGTTAGTACCTACTAGTAGGAGTATATTTGTAAAATTCCGCCTAGATTACATCATCTTTGCTATTTCTGCCGCAAAGTTGTGTACCGGTTATAGGGACACCAATTACATAGTACAATGAACTTCGATATCATGTCTTAGAGTGGGCGGTTGTATTTTCTATGTAATATCATAATGGAGTCGGGCAGCCCCTTAACTATGTCGTCAAAATTATTATTATTTTTTAGTTATAGTTGGAGTCAAATTTCGTAAAATATCGAACTTTCTAGTAGTTCCTAGCCGGTTTGTTGACTGAATAACTCGCTTCTGTGTAATGATGTGGGGGTGAATGTTTCTTTTAAGCATCATAATATCTCATTCAAACTCAGAGTTGACTTCGAAGTTTAAATTGTGTAACGGCTATAAATGCAATTTGATTTCGTGTTACAGGACCATGGGGTATACCGTTTCTTGGTTATCTTCCGTTCATGAAGAGCTCACCCCACGCCATGTATTCTAGAATGGCCGATAAATACGGTGAAATTTCTTCTATAAAACTTGGAAACCATTTAGTCGTCTGTCTTAATTCGCCGAAACTTGTGAAGGAACTCTTCAGTCGATCGGATTCTATCGCGAGACCAAGAACTCCGCTGAACGAAATCATGGAAGGACGAGGTAACTTCTCAGACCATCTATTCTCTTCGAAAATTAACTTCGTCCTTAAAAACTTACTTGTATTTTTTCATTAAGTTTATAGCTGCATTCCACACATCTACAAATTAAAGGGTTTAAGCAATCTTATTTTTTATGAATCAACATTTTTTGGCAGATCTTATTTTAGGTTGGTCAATATTTTTAAATTAAATCTATATCATTAAAAATGCTATTTTCAAAGCAGATTGTGAATAATAATATTAGGTTAAAAGATAATAAGGGTACCTTAGGTACTCTATATTACCCTTCACTTGGCACTTAAGCACGAACAAGCCCTTAAAGACAGTTCGACGAAGATCTGAACGTGCATTTACGAGAAGACGTCTTTTATATTCGATTTTACTATTCGTAGGTATAGTACTGAGTGAAGGTATACTTTGGCAGAAACAGCGTCAATTTCTACATGAAAAATTCAGGGCTCTTGGAGTAAAGGTGTGGCCGAAACAGCGATTCGAGAAATTTATTATTGTAAGTATATATATTTCAAAAAATCATTGAACTCATATTAAGGAAAAATGTACCGGAAAAATTTTTTTTTTGTATTATACTTGCGAAAGCAAAGGACATATATGGCTGAAATCCCAAAATATGTATTGAATGTGTTAAGCGTAAGAAAAAAAATACACTTTTTCCAATATTTGAGCTGGATGAAATCAATGGACTTATATTCCTTTTTAAAGGGTAATAAATAACATATGGTTTAATAAAAGTTTTATTCGTCTTACAAGTAAAAACTTGTATTTTTTCTGCAAATATCAATAAATTTGGCCAGAGGGTTTTACTTAATAACGTCATAGCCCATATATCTCAAAAATAAATGTGGCCAAAGAATCTCGCTTGATGATATCATAACCCATAAATACCAAAAATCCATGACAACGATCAACCATCAGAAGAAGCTGGCGACCCAGGGTGTCTCCATTTAGTACTACTTTGCATTCATCAACAGATTTTTTTTTCTTAACTTTTGCTATTAACCTCGGGGGTTATACTAGCTTCACCGAACGTATCAACAGTAGGTTGAGCTTACCCCTCACCTCATCTTTTTCTAGCTTAAAAGATCCTGAGATGTCATTGACCTTAATCATAAAAAGTTTGGTTTTGTACAGATTTGCGATCAATGTTATAAGATTTTGAGATACTCTTGGGATATCATTGAATTGTATTGTATAGATTGGTGACAACACAATGTGAATATCGCCATCACACGATGTCATTCTAGAAGTATTTTGACAGCCATGGTTAAGTTCATATTTCCATTGAAAAAATTGCGCCTGGGAGTTTTTTAAGCTGGTATAGCTGAATCGCTTGATACGAATGAACTGGGCGCTTTATCATTTAGTCCACGGCGATTTCATACAATGCTCTAATGCAATTAGAACTTTGGCATTTTGTCTTAAGATTGATGACGCCATACACGTTGTGTTTTATAGTCTTCCAGTAGCTGTCTAAGACTTAATTGACAAAAAAATAGTTGCTATCACGAACTGTGATATTGACGATTTGGAATAAATAGTAGTGGAAATAAAATTGTTTTCTTAGATCTATGATATAATTTAATTTTAGATGGAAATCGAAGAATTTATAACCGACTTAATTAAATTGAATGGAGCTCCTGTTGATCCAACGCTTTTGCTCGGAAGACACGTACACAATATAATATGCCAATTGATGATGAGTTTCCGATTTGAAGAGGACGATCAAGAGTTCGGTATATTTAATGAAAAAATCAGTCGTGGGATGAAGCTGTACGGATCGATACACGCTAGCGAATACGTGCGGCAGTACTTGGTTCGTACACAGATTGTTCTCTTTCTAACACGCTTTTTATTACCTTGACCTGTATAAATAAAATAAATAAATAAATATTTACTAACGGTCACACAGCCACATTAACTGGTCCCGTGATAAGTTCGTAAAGAACTTGTGTTACAGGTACCAGATAACGGAAATAAATATAAATTTTTTATTATACACATACACATATTTAATATACATCCATAACCCTGGAAAATACATTTATATTTATCATACAAATATCTTCCCTTGACGGGATTCGAACCCGCGACCCCCTTGTGTAGTGACCATGTCACTTACCACTACACCAGACGGCCGTTTAATCGTTAATGTTTGTATCAACGTAACGGCAATAACAACGTAATTTTCAACAACTTCGTCTAATTAACTTGAAAATTTGCACACGTAGGTATTAAGGACTGATGACAGTACAATAATTAATTATAATACTTTAGCCTAACATGCTGACCTGAATCATTAAGATATAAAAAGCATATTTTAATTTGAATTGCTTATAAACTTCGTAAAACTATATTTGTCAAATAGGGTGGTAGTAGCAATGAAAATAATCAGCTCGACATCTTGTTGCGCATTCAAAGGTTACATGTCGAAAGTTTGCGTTGTTTAGGGCTATTTTTATACAATATAGAATACATATTATTTATGTTTTTTTTATTGCTCGTGTAGGCAGACGAGCATACGGCCCACTTGATGGTGAATGGTTACCGTCGCCCATGGACTTCAATGCCAGGGGCAGAGCCAAGCCGCTGCCTACCGCTTAATACTCTCCACAAGCCTCGTTTGAAGAAGGACATGTCATAGCACTCGGGAAACGCCGTGGAGAAGAGCTCATTCCGTAGCTGGATGGTACGTGGCAAAAAATACCTCTGGAAACGCACTGTGGATGACCGCAGTGGCTCCAGGTAGTACGGATGAATTCTACTCCGGTGGCGGGCGGTGCGATGGTAACAACGAGATGATTGTATCATCTCGAATAATTCCTCCCCATGGAACATACGGTACAAAATACAGAGGGGAACCGAAATCCCTTCGCAGACCCAGAGGTTCCAAACGATCCGTGATATGTACCTACTTTATTTCGGTAAAATCAAGGTTACAACTGAAAATACTAACGTTCCACTCACAAGATAATTGTCAGAATAACATCTCACTTTGCTCTACATATCGTGACACAGTTTCTAATGATCACGGCTCAAATACACGTGTAAGCTATAAAACAAAAGACGAAACCAAATATTTTGCTTCTCAAACAGAAACTGCCCGGAAAGAAAACAATTTTAGACGAAATGAAACGTAGCTTGGCCGACATCAGCGAATTTCATGCAAACAAGATCAGAGAACGTATTGATTATCGAGCAACCCATCCGTATGATGAACCTGCCGACCTTTTGGATTATTACTTGGACAATATTGAAGCTAGGAAATCAAGAAAACGTTTCCCTGATATATTCCCGGGAGTCGATCCAGGTATTGGCACGTCTAATATTTTAAATTTGTTATATGTAGCTTTACATTATAAAATATGTAGAATGTAACTTTCTTGGTTTGTTTGCTCCTCGTACTTGTCGCGAGTTGTTTTAATAGTTTAGGAATATATTGTTTTATTGCCCATGTAGGCAGACGAGCATACGGCTCACCTGATGGTGAGTGGTCACCGTCGACCATGGACGTCAGCAACGCCAGAGGCAGAACCAAGTCGCTGACTACAGTTTAAAAATAGTGCTTGTCTTCCTCGTTCTGTTATATACAAACAAACGAGTATCTGTATTTTATAGATCATATGAGTGAAATTAATTTCTTTGTAAACTTTGTAAGAAGTATTCAGTTACAGTTACAGTTCAGACAACCAATTTCTATTTTTTTTTTTAGTTCTATAAAATATCTAAAACAAGACACATTTTCAATTAACAGAGAAACAGGTAGTACAAGTGATGAACGATCTCTTCTCCGCCGGAATGGAGACGTCGCGCACGACTCTCTCCTGGACCTTGCTGATGATGATCCACGAGCCTGACGTGGCTGCGAAGGTCCGGGCCCAGCTCAGAGAAACGGTCCATCCAGGAGAGCTCGTGACCCTCGATCATCGCCCCGAGCTGCCATACCTCGAGGCTGTGCTGTTCGAGACATTACGATGCGTTTCACTCGTACCCTTAGGAACTACACATGTCAATACAACGTAAGTGGTTTCAATTAACAACATTAACAACGTTACAGTTGAGAATTTGTAGTTTGCCCGTAAAATTATTTAACTTTCACTAGTGGTCCCGTAGTCCCGCTGAACGAGGGAACCGGTGGTCGTGTCGCTGGCGGCCACCGGTCCGGCGTCCGTGGGACGGTGGGATGGATGTAATGTGCTCTGCGTCAACCCTGTCCCGCCGTTTCAATAGCCCCGACTGGGCTCCGGCCCGGTCCGAGGTAGGGCGCCGGTTGTGAGCCGCAGGAGTTTTTAGTGAGGTTCAACTCCCACATACCCCACCTGCCGCGCGAGTGGGGATCCGGCGATTTTCTCCTATGGAAAAAAAAAAAAAAAAAAAGGGGTCCCGTAGTAGTCGAAATTCGACTATAATTAATTGAAATTGTAAGTTTTATGATACACTATTATGATTCTGTTTTCAAAGACTATTTATTATACTTCTATAATCAAAGATTTCACCAAAACTACACTTTAGACAAATATCAATAAAGACAAACAATATTTAATCTATTCTCAATTTGACCACAGACTTCAAGAACAAAAGTTTGACAATAGTGTGTGTAATGTTTTTTTTTATCGATTTAATGTATTTTTAGGCATAATTTTATAAAATATTAACATTCTGCACTTCTTCTCTATATTGTTTATAAGTGTGGGAAATTTCATACTCCTCCCTTCGCGCAATTTTCGTAAAAAGGGAGACAAAGTTTTAATTAATATATAGATAAATACGTTTTACAGCGAATGGAAAGTGGACAAGTACGTCATCCCGAAAGGAGCACACATTATTCCGTTAATCGGCAAGATGAATAACGACTCCAAAGTGTACCCGGAACCGGATAAATTCAAACCGGAACGTTTCTTGCGCGACGGCCAGTTTCACATCCCGGATAGCTACATGGCTTTCGGAGTTGGACAACGCTTGTGTCTGGGAATCCAATTGGCCAGGATGCAGCTATTCCTCTTCTTCGCCAACATTATGAACAGGTTCGAGTTGTCGCTGCCCGAGGGCGCTGAGATGCCACCTTTAGAGGGCTTCATGGCCGCAACCCACACTCCGTTACCTTATTCTTTGTGTTTCCACAAAATCGATAACTAATTTTATTTTATTTTATTTTAAGTGTTTAATTTTAATAACTTTTGCGATTTGACTTTAAATTTGATATACATAAATATGTAGTTCGTATATTAGAACTAGTAGAATAGTTGACAAAAGTGCGTTATTTCTTCAGTTGTAATTTCTTCTTATTTGGAATCAAGCAAAACTAGTTTTAAATTTAGTATCGGACTGATCATGTAACTATAATTTTGTTTCATTTATTTAAAGCATTCAAAGAGTCCTCATCGTTGGTTTGCTATTTTCTTTGTTTGAAGAGTGTAATTTATTCATGTTTTTTTTATTTAACAGTTTTAACTTTGGAGAAATTCGCAACTGAATTCACAACGTGACTTATGAAACATCAAATTTCAGTTAAATAACTATCGATAGTATTTTGACCCCGCCTATTTTAAGTTATATTTACATTTATATAAATTTTTTTTACTGACATTACCTTTAGCGTGTTTATTTTTTAGTTCTCGAAATTATTTAGTTTCAAATCAAACTTAATAATACTGCATTCATTATTTTTTATTATTAATGGCCGCCGTATTTATTTTATACAATCACACTCCAGCCACGTACCATATACAAAAGGGCTTACATAATCCTATACACGACATATTCATCCAAGTATTGAATAAAAGTTCCATACATAGTCTTGACACAAAAGCTTTAAGCCCAGTTATATTATATAACATCGGTTGATCATGACCAGTTGTCCCTTTTATGATTATGGCCTTGAATTTAATTTCTGTATGCATGAATAGTATTCAAAGGTCATAAGGGAACCTATTCAGAAATTTTATAATGGAAATATTGTTTGACCCCATTCGGCAAGTTCAAGGCTTTAAAGTGTTGTGCCACTCAAATCTAAACATTAATGTAAGTACAGTGATATTTGTAAGTTTCATAATATATTTTATGTAATTACAGAATAATGACAGTAGTATTATTGTGCGTATTTTTATGTTATAATGTATAAATAATTATATTTTATTTACAAGATAATTTTATTCCTAAATAATATGTAAAAAATCATGACGTTTTATTTTAAGTACAAGCATAAATAATATTATTCTGAATTCGTATTTATTTTGCTTTAAAATATATTCGATTTGAAATTAATAATAAATCAATTACTCTCATTTTTGTATAAAAAGTAATATTTTAATAATTATACTTTTTTGTTCTCATTATGTTAATGAAGCATCAATAATTAATTTCAAATTACCACTTAATTTAATTAAGATCATACGAGGTCAAACTAACCTTTTACCCCTGAAATTGGAATACACGCGAAATTTAAAAATAATATAATAATACATCGGGAGCTTATCTGTACTATTCACGAAATATATACTATTAACAAAAAATATTTTAATGTATACATATTATTATATGTACCTACAACAACGAAATACTACATGACGTGTTAAAGAATTAAATTAAAGGTTTAAGTATTTACTATAATTTCGTAAATATGTATTATTTTTCTTCTTAAAATATTAAAAACTTTGTTTCATGGAACTCACCCTTAAGCTTGACACGTGTAAAATGGAATTCGATCCAAAAGGAGAGGAGAAATTCAAGGTCAACAACGCTTACGTTCACACCGCCGTATACAGACCGCTAACAGACAAACTTTTTTTTAGATGTAAATGTATGTGTATGTAATATGGTGATTGACATATGTGATAAAAAAAAAATTTACGTTTATGAACGAAGGAGCTCACGGCCAACTAGATTTTAGGCGGTTATAGGATTCTCTGTAAAATTACGAGTATCAGAGGGACTACGGCTAGTCATTCCGACCGGAATGCATGCTTGTGGCATCAGAACGGTATCATGAGCTCGTGTGGGCTCAACTTGTCCTAGATATAAATCAGTGGAAGCGTAGTGGATATTTAATTTGAGAAATTTGGCGTGGTTAGTACTCGTACGATAGTATAGTGTAGTATAGATAGTATAGACTGATTATGCGGAAGTTTTATAACGCATTCGCTCGCGAAGACATGGTTGCATGTCCGCATATTATGATTTTTAGTAGTTCTAACTTCTTATGTTAACGGATTTCAAGAAAAAAGAGATTCTCAATTCGATTGTAATTTTTTTTGCCATTGTTACCTTAGAAGTTTTTCTTCTAGCTGAACCGATTTTGATGATTCTTTTTTTCTTTGAAAACTGGTGCTTCTTATGTGGTCTGGTAAAATTGTAAGATGTGATAGTCTTTGAGTTATCCTTAATAATAAATAATTAAGTGACATCGATGAATTTTTTTTTGTTAAAATTTTATATTATTTTGATTTTCAGAAGCGTTAGTCTGGTTCTAAAGTCTAAAGTCGACTTAATTTATACCTAAAGATTCTTCTAAAGCACATGAAGAGTAATCGTTGCGAAGTGGAAAATTCTTTTTTAGCCAATAACAAAATTCTTAAGCATGAATTACGCGTTCTTTGCCCTAAATCTAAAGAAATAAATTTAAAGGACGTCAAAAGCGTAATAAATAGGAAACTCCCTCCAACCAAGAATGAGCTAGTAACATAAATCATTAAAACTGGCCATGCCGCCTATGTCTGGAGGCAAAACTGAGACTGCTGACTGGTAGTAATTTTTTTTTTAACATTGACCATCAATCGTGCGTACGTGTCGTAACGCAAATACAGTACATACTTAACTAGTATTATATTATATAACAGGTATTTTCTAGCACCATAGCTGAATAGGGAGGGAATGAGAGGGAGGGGACAATAGAAACATTCAAACTAATTTCAAGCCCAAACTCTTGTGCGAACTGAATTGTCTTTACATCCCTCAAACACGATATAAAGTACCACCAGTACGCATTCTGTCTGAGCGCATAGTTACCAGGCTTACCACAATAATATTGCTCCAGTTGCGACTGGTGAGGCGATAAAGGCACTGACTGGTTGACGTAATTCCAACAAATAATTACTGAGAGCACTCTCCGTGGAATATTGGTATAAATACAAAGATAATTAAAGTCTTTCCGAATGCCCAGAGGTTCCAAACGATCCCTAAGACCAAGTTCGATAGTCTAATATAATAGTCCAGTGCAGAATTTCGACTGAAAAGTGGGTCTGTCACGTTTCGATTGTCTACGAAGGCGTGGGTAAAAATTTAGATTGTTGACCCCCTATTCCTATCATCGTTAAAAATATCATAATACCCACATCTACAATACAAAGGAAAATAATTAACATTAGCAAAATTGTGCGTGTTACCCTTAAATACTAAAATTAATAAGATAATAAATAATAATAAGTGATCAATTAAAACAAAGGCACCTCTTACGTTACGTATAAATTATGTAAAATGACGTGCGCTACTAAAAGAATTAGACTATAGCTGCTCAGTATATGAAAAAAAAAATGACACAAGGAAATTCTTCTTCATGTTCAAAGTGTAAATGACGCGTAAAAACCTTCAATGTACATTGAATTAATCTTCTCGCAGTACACATAGACTTGAACTCATGATTAAGATCAAGGCTAACATTTTTGGCAATTTATTAACACATTTGACTTTGACATCTATAGACCTTATGAGTATTCTGTTCCATCTATTAGGTTTGTTTGTTGCCTTCAAATGATAGATTCTGTTTGTTAATTATCAAGTTCACCACGATTTTTTAAAAATATTTTTTTCTCATATTCTCTTTTTTATTAAAAATATTCAAACTAATAGTTTCCAATTTTAAATGTAAACTAATTGTTTTTCTTTATAAACCACTCTAATGATATATCGAGCACAATTTGTAACTTAAGTAATAATATGTAACCTAAAAAAAGTTAAATAAAAAACAAGGTTCATTTAAAGATTTGTACATGATAATTAGCTGTAAATATAATAACTATAATTTAAATATATTCGTATCCGAGCCACTATCATTCTTCACGGTTCTTTTAACAAACCTTAATCATTTACAGTCAAAAAATAAATATAATCAAACTATTTTTGAGACTTATTAGTTGTTTTATTGATAGGATTTATGGGTAGGACTTGATAACGTAAATGCGTCATACCTTCCAATACGAAGTCGGATTCTCAACTGCCTTCGAAAGATTGTTAACCTACAAAAATAAATCGAATCAAATTCATTTTGATACTGTGGCTACAAAGATCTCTTTTTAAATTCGCAAGGTGCTGCATTTCACACTCAGTCGTGTAAAACGCATAATTATTTAATTCTAAACTGAAATATATATATAAATTGCATAAGGTAATAAGTACCAAGCCTTTCACTAAAGCACTGGTAGTGCTCTGCAACAGTACTTAAATTAAAATGGGGTGAAAGTGATGTTCGTAAATAAAGTTATTAAAAACGGGTAACGGTCAGTTGTAGCTGTAATTAGACGACCCTGTCGCATACCGAATCTTCTGACTTAATAACCGGACTAGCAGTAACTATAGTAATCGATAGTCATCGTATTAGACCCCCAAACACAACCACTAAGGGCTTATTGGTTATGCAAGGGACCGAATGAATCGTCGCAATGGACGAAAATATTTGCTGGTGGAGAAGATTCGCCGCGTCGATTGTATGTAGAAAGGTGTACACATACGTGGTCACCCTAAATACATTTTAATTTAAAACTGTATTACGAAAGTGCGCAAAATTAGATGATGGTGACCTTACGCAGTGATCGTTGGGCAATGAAACTGCTCAGCCTCAACGCGATTAATTGAACGACCTTTAGTAATTCAGTTAGGTCAACGTCATGTGACGAATACAATCCACTAAAACCATTTTATGAGATAGATCTAAATACCCATCACCCGTGCTTAGTTTGGAATCCATACCGAATGGAACATTTATGAAATGTCACACTCCAGGCCATAAATTGGTGGTATTATTATTATTAGTTAACTACTTTTCCAGTTTAATAATTTAAAGTGGAAATATCAGATTTTATTAAATCATAAATTAAGCTGTAAATGTTGTTTTGATCGTTTCTGCCTTCGATCAATAATAGTAC